ATATATATCTCAAGTCCATATATCTCTTGAGTTTCAGACTCATAGATCCCACACCATATTTGAGTCAATGTCCTTTTTACAGGGAAGAAGGGAAGATTTCTATCGCTTCCATTGGCTATACATACTCCAAAAGCACCTTATGTTTTTTTCTTATCATTACTGATTGTAAAGATACATATAAATATATATATGTATGTATATATAAAATACATATATATATATATAATATGCATATATATACACATAGTGATTTGATTAAATGTATTTCTCCCAGTAGGTTGTAAATTCCTTGATAGTAAGAACCATATTTTATTGTTGTTGTTGTTGACCATTCTATCCCCACCTGTTACCATAGTCCTGGACACATAAAAGTTGTTCAGTAAATGCTGAGTGAATACATAAATGAATAAAAGAAAGAGTTAACAGCAGAACACTGTGTTCGACTTTATCTATTCTATTAATTAATATTAGGACATATTAACCAGATTTGTAAATGATTTTAAACTAGGAGATTTAGGAAGTATCTTAAATAAAAAAATCAGAATAAAAAAACAAGCACACTAAATGATGGGGCTCTTTAACACCCCAGAACCAGGTAGAAGGTCTTACGTAAACACAAAGTTTCTTAATAAATGTGGAATCAAATATAATTTTGTTATATTTTTCTTTTGTTTCCTCTTATTGATTCACTCTCAATGTTGCATGTATTTCATATATTAGAACAATAAATTCTACAAGTAAATAGTAGGAACCATAAAACTCCTTATAAACTTATAGATTAAGAACATTGATATGGGATATCCCTAAACTAAAATAATTCTTATTTCTTGAAGATATTTAGGTATAAACATATATCTTGATGGTCAAAGTTCTTGATATTCCTTATCTAATTAAAGAACTAAACACAAATTTACAGTTTTCACAACCTCTTTTGAGGGAAGAGTATGGTGGGAAATTCCTGTCTAAAGAATATAGACTCTTATTGCTGGGTGAAGAGTATAAGTTGGATGCTTTTATAATCAAGTAATAAGTTTGTTTTTAGCTAGTCTTGTTTTTAACCAGTACACTCAGTTGGCAACAAGACAGTGCTCTGTCTTTAAAGAAGGCTACACTTTACTGAATAATACCTGGGACCTCCTGAAATAAATAACTCTTTTTCTATTTTCCCTCCCTTTCAGCAATCTGTAAAACTCCATGGTCTAGTTGCATCACATAATAGCATTACAGTCTCTGTATGTGGGAGACAAGGTAAGTCCCATTATTTTATTTTATTTATTTTTATTTTTAATTTATTTATTTTGATTGGTGCATTTAGTCCATTTATATTTAGTGATATTGATGGGTACATACATAGTTATTGCCATTTTATTTTATTATTATGTTTTTCAAAGAATTTTTATTGGGGAATTGGGGGATGGGAACAGCGCTGGGGAATTGGGGGAAGGGGAACAGACAAGTTGCTGTCCTTTTGTTCTTCAGTCTAGTTGTGG